TGCCAGCGAGCTGCCATTGGAAACGCCAGGGCAGCAGGAATCGCTTCCTCCTCCGCGGGAAGGGAGCAAACAGCAGCGGCACAGCCGTCCTGGGAGCCGGTGTCAGCCCGGACACGGATCCCGGGATGCCGGGAGCTGCCGGCTGGCTGGGCACGGCCGTGCTGGGGAGGGCGGCCGACAGCGCACACGGACAATGGGGGGGTCAGCGAGGTTAAACGGTGACTAATTCGCCCATTCAGCGTCCCCTCCGCCGCTCGGGGACACCCGCCGTGCCGTGACACCGCCCGCAGACCCCCAGGGTCACCCACATGATTCCTTCCCCCCAGCCTGAGTGGGGAGGAGGTGGGCATCGGGGTCCGGGTGGTCTCGGGGGTCCCCAGACTGCCGTGCCGATGGATTGGGTTTGTCACCGATGGATCCTGTGCCCACCGGGTCCCCCGGCCCGAGGAGGAGGCACTGGGTCAAACAGGCACCTGCGCTCGGGCCGTGTCCCCTGAAGAGGGGACAATGCTGGGAACTGGTGTGAACAATGGTGCCGACGGGAAGCTCCCGGACCCCTCCCCAGCTGCCCCCGCGGAAGCGGCCCCCCAGCCCGGCCATGCTCCGGCGGCAGGAATCCCGCCGGGCCGGTCAGTGGAGTCACCGGCCATGTGGGCGAGGCTCCAGCCAGCACATCCCCCACCAGCAAAGCGTTGGGAGATTTTTGGGGAGGGGGCACACACCTCCCTGCCCCCAGCAGCCCCTTCCCACGGGGGGTTGTGCCCTGGGGGGCTCGCAGGGGGATTAGGGATGGGGACAGCCAGGGGTGAGCTGTACCTAAGCCGAGCGCTTTATCTGCGTAGGAATCTGCTCCGGGGCTGGACGCTCCCTTTGCCCTTCACCGGGAGGGATTGGCCCCAACAAACCCCGCACCCCACGCCGGGGGGGCTGTGCCTGGAGAGGGGCTGCTCCCTCGGGCACCCCCCAGCCCTGAGTCAGCCATCGCCTTACGGGAAATCACATCCCCAGCGCCTCCGAAACGTCAATCCTTGGCTCTGGTTTTTACAAATGACTTTCTTATTCTGAATAAGTGCCCTCTCCGACCCCACTGCGGGTCCCGGCGTGCCAGAGGCCGGGGGCTGTGTATGGGCTGGGAGTGGGACGGGAAACGCGCCATAAATGTGTTTATTCTTCGTTAAAGAACTCGTTAGTGTGCGAGGGCTCTTCCCCAGCCCAGCGTGGCCCCTCGCTGTCCGCGGGACAAAGGGATGCATCCCCGGGGGCTGCCAGAGGAAGGAAGGAAAGAAAAGGAGAGAAGTAGCCCCTCAAGCCTGTCACCGCTGGTCCTGCTACCTGCCCAGACAGGGTGGGCTCTCCCCGCCGCTGCCTGCGTTGTGTTTTTTCCTTAAATACAGGAATTTGGGGGAGTTTAGCCCCTGGAAGGTGGAGGCTGCCACCAGCCCCCATCCCTGCTGCGGTGGCCCTTGGGTCTGCCCCCAGTCCTCACGTCACGGTGTGCACGTCCCAAACCGGTTTTGGAGAGAAGGAGGAAAACCGAGAGTGTTGCCACTTCCTGGCAATGGAAAAGAAACTTGAAAATTAATCCCCGAGGCCTGAAAACCCGGAACCAAGCGGGGACGGGGGGGGGGAAGGGGAGGTGTTTTTAAGTCGGACGTGGGATGCAGGGACACGGACTCCTCCATGAGGGCTCATGGGGCAGACAAGGGACTCCTGCCGAAGCGGGGATTTGCCTGGCACCAGCATGACCCTCGGCATTCCCGGAGCCTTGTGAAATACTGCTTCCCCTCCTGCTTGTAATTGCCCCCCTTGCCCCAGCTCGGGGGGGGTTGAGGAGGGTTCGGACCCCCAGCACGCACCCAGCCCGTGCCGAGGGCTCTCCCGCATTCCTGGCATTGCCAAGGGGCCGCCTCCCGCCTGCCCTTTGAAAGCCAGCGGGTCGGGATTTTCCTGTAATCTGGTTTGAAACATTAATCCGGTCATCCACACCAAACGCCGGGCCGGCATCCTGCCGGGGCGCTGGGCCGGGGTCAGGGCCACCCGCCCACCGCCTGCCTAATTCCTCCTCCACTTAATTATAGATCTGCTGGCAACGGCCATCTGGCTCCGTGTCCTCAGCCGGCCGGGGGCCGGGGCCGAGGGGGCTGCGCTGCAGCCAGGTGGGCTGGACACTGTGGCCAGAGCCACTGGCATCAAGCATTCACTCTGGGGTGGGTCAGCACTGGGAGCACTGGGTGCTGGAGTCACATCTCCCAGCCCAGGGGACTCTCAGGGAGGTGGGGGGGGCATCTCCTGCTCCCCCCAGCCAGGCTGGGGTGGCTGTGCCGCAGTGTCCCCTGCCACCACATTCTGCCGTGGGGACCCCACGGTAAGAGGATATTCCTGGGGCAGCTGCGTTGTGGATTAAGTCGTTTCCAGCTCCCTAATTACGAAACATAAATGTATTGACTCAGCGGCACCGGGCGGCCTTGCCTGCGGCTCGTGCACGCCGGTACCTTTGCACCGAGCACCGAGACGCTGCGTGTCCCTGCGAGGAGCTGGCCTTGAGCTGAGCAGAAACCAGGGCTGAGAGCAGGAAGCAGGGCACAGGCACGGGGCAGGGATCAGCACCAAGCAGGCACAAGACTCAGCACCTGCTGATTTCGGTGCGGCAGTGCCGGCAGCCGCCAGCCTGTGCCAAGCTCAGCTGCGCACTGGGTTTCGCACGCTGCCAAAACCAGAACGTTTCTGTTCCCCAATTTGCATTCTGAGCCCCGCTGTCCCAGCTGTCCTGCTCTGCCGTTGGGGCTCTCGGGGCGCCGGCTGCTTTGCCGTTGGCTGCGGATGGCGTCAATGCAAGGAAATCCTGCAAGGGGCAGCTGGGAGTCACTCGTCTCTGTCCCCTTCCGTGTCCTGCCTGTGCTCGGGGTCGAGGGGGAACAGGGGTGGTAAGGGAGGACAGGGGCAGCTTGGCAAATGCACTCTTTCACATGCCACAGTGCACACAAGGCACGTCCCGGCCATGGCTGGGCATGTCCTCGCCCCACAGTGCTGCCAGATGAGCACCTTGGGCACATGCCCATCACTGGCAATTGGTTCTGCTGGCCGTGGCAGAGCTAAACCAGGGTTTGGGGGGGTCCCAAGGGGAGCCTGTTTCTCTGCTTGGCACTGCAGTGGTCAGTGAGCAGCTGCCAAGTGCAGCGAAGCTGTCGAAGTCTCGCCGGTAACCGTCAGCAGCAGCTCGTGCAACATCCTTTGCCCGGCAGCCGTGGCAGGTGTGAAGTCACCGGGCAAGAACGGGGATCCCTCTGCCCACCATCCCTGGGGACCCCCATGGCTTCATCCCACTTGGGCAGGGGTGAGAGTGGCTGCAGCCAGCTGAGCTTGGCATGGGACCACCGGGGCTGGTGGAAGGCCGGCACTCGAGGCAGCCGCCTGCCACGGCCACTAATCCCCCTGTCCTGGCCGGCCACGCTCTCCTCAGCTGACGGTTAATTTTCTTTCATCCTCTTAAACGCGTCCATTCCCCTCGGGACTGAGTCCGGGGAGGGCTGGATCATGACTCCGAGGGTCTTGGCAGTGGATGAACCAGAGTGTTCGGTGCTTTCCCAGGATAGCTCCGCACCGCGGAGGATCGGGCGCCGGGGAAGCCCTTTCTCTGTGTGTGGCTTTTTGGAGCTGCTCAAGGAAACGGGGGAGGCTGGATTGGCACCAGCTCAACATCCCTCAGCTGGCACAAGTAGCCCAGTGCAGCTCAGCCCCAAAAATCATGGCACTGCTGCTGTGCCATGGCTCACTCCCTCCATGGCACTCCCACACCAGTCCCCTTGCTAGGGTGGGAGAGGGGCTTTGAGGGTCTCTGCCGGTAGTCCTGGTGGCTCCTGCCCTTGCCCTGGGGGTGTGCAAGAGGCTGGACGAGCCTGCTGAGTTTCCCAGAGGAACTGGGGGGGGTTTATGGCCCCGCTTATCACGCGGCCCCATTGATCCCTTTGATCGGCGCTGGCGGGCGAGTCTGGCCCCGCAGGATCCGGATCCTCCCTGCAGGGCTGCAGGAGGAGGGGGCTCGAGCCAGGACGATGCCCACCCGTCCACCTGCCCACGGTCCTGGTGCCACAGGGCGTAGGCAGGGAGGCAGTGGGCACATGGGTGACCCACTGACCGGCAGGGGTGGCCCCGCAGTGCGTGCCTGGCGTATTAGGGGGGTATTTATAGGCCCCTCCCGGCCCCCCTGGCAGTTGTTCAGAGCTGTCATTGAGAAAAGCGGAGCTGTGGCCGCCACCACGTTGGTGTCTGGGCAACGCCTGCCCCCACAGCCTTTGCTCCTGGATGGAGGGGGGATTATCCACCAGCCTCCAGGCAGAAACAGCGCTGGGCTTCGGGAGAGGCCGCGTGGCGTGGCGTGGTGTGTGCCTCCGGCGTGCCGGGCGCTCCAACCGGCCGATCCTGCGCCATAAATCAGGCAGGAATGTGCCGGGGTGGGGGGTCTCGGCTGAAGATGCCCCAAGCAGAGCTGGTGATTGAGGTACAGCGTGTCAGAGCCTGGCCCAGCTCTGCCTTCCCCTGTGCAGGACACGTCCCTGCAGGGCCATGGCACACAGGCTCATGTCGAGGCACACTGGCTCCTGGCCATGGCTCTCTGTGGCAGCACCCCAAGCGTGGAGGGACCACGCTGAAGAGTTGCTGTGCTGAGCAGGCAGTGGATGCTAAAAATAACCGGGGTCAGCGTTCCCGGGAGGAGCCGGGGCTGAGCACGGTGTTGGCAGCCTGGGAGCCACTCTGGCCATGATCACGGTGTTGGCAGCACTGGCATCCCGGAGCTGAGCTCCGAGCAGGGCTGGCAGGGCATAGCACAGTGGGGCACAAGGTCAGCCCAAGCTGCAGGAACCCCCCTGGGCCTCTGCAGGAACCCCCGAGCCATTTGGTGTCCTTTGAGCCACATGGCTGCTGCAGTGGGAGCCAGGGGTCTCAGGTGGGGGGACACACGGGTTAAAGGGGATTCTGAGCATCTCTGTCTCCTTATGCAGCTGTACGAGCTGGATGGTGACCCCAGGAGGAAGGAGTTCCTGGATGACCTCTTCAGCTTCATGCAGAAGCGAGGTGAGTACCCAGCTGGGCACCCACCCTGTGCCCCCGCGCCCACTCTGTGCCCACCCTGCTCCACCACACCCACCTTGCACCCCCACGTGCCCCCCAAGGCCAGGGGCTCATTTCCTTGCCCCTCATTAGTGCCCTGAGGTCACGGCTCCGGCTGAGCTGCTGGTTAATCTTTAACCCCTCAGCACAGCAGGGTCAAACCTGCTGGGCTGGATCCAGAGCCTGCGGCCCCCCCTCCCTTCACCCATCGCACCCAGACCTGCAGCCCCTCCCCACAACACCCCTGGCCGTGTGCCCCCTCTGCCCATTGCCTGGTTACTGCAGCCCCTCGCTGTGCCCTCTCTCTGCCCGGGGAGAGGCCATGGCTGGGGGGCTGGGGGTGGGAAGGGCTGAAAGCCAAGCGTGCTCCTGCTCGAGGGTCTGGTTCCTGCGTGGAAAACAGTGCTGGAAGTGCTGACACAGGGCTGGCTCCGGCCCTTTGTCAGACAGCTCTGGGAAGGCACGTGTGCCTGCACAGCGGGGCTGGGGCTGCTGGCTGGGTTCCCCCAGGTTCCCCTGGCTTTGTCCTGTCCCCTGGCTATGTCCCCTACAGTCCCCCCACCATCCTGGCCCACCTACATCCACTGGGGTCCCCCAGAGCCCCCTCACCTCAGGGCTGGGAGGGTGGAGACCCTGATGAGGGAGCAGCCCCCTCCTCAAGCTGGAGGGACGAGCCCCCCGGCTCATAGGAGACCCTCACGGCTGGATTGTGCCGCCCCCGTTATAAATAACTCGCGTTGCCGGGTGCCGGCTCAGCCCGAGGAACCGGCTCAGCCACGACAGGGCTGTGGCTGGAAACTGCGAGTTTCTGTTTCCTTTGTTCGGGGCTGATCTCAGCGGGAGGGCCCGGGGGGAAGAAGGGGACAGTGGAAGAGGAGGGAGCAGCATGAGCCCCCCAGCCCCTCCACTGCCCCGCAGGGGTCTCAGCAGCTGCGCCCCCACTTCGGGTAAGAAAGCAGCACCCCAGAGCCACTCTCTCCTCCCGCCGCTCCCCAGGGACCCCCGTGAACCGGATCCCCATCATGGCCAAGCAGGTGCTGGACCTGTACATGCTGTACACGCTGGTGACCGAGAAGGGGGGTCTGGTGGAGGTCATCAACAAGAAGCTGTGGCGAGAGATCACCAAGGGGCTGAGCCTGCCCACCTCCATCACCAGCGCGGCCTTCACCCTGCGCACCCAGTGAGCGGGGCTCGGAGGGGATGGGAGGGGGGGGGAGGGGAGGGGAGGGGGCGAGTCCTTGGGGGTCCCTCTGCCCTGTGCGGGGCATGGAGGCTCAGCACAGCCCTGTGTGGGAGCAGTGGGGTGGCACAGGGGAAGGGGTGCCCAAGCCACCGCGTCACCCTCACCATCCCCGCCCGTGTCCCGTGTGGCCGCAGGTACATGAAGTACCTGTACCCCTACGAGTGTGAGAAGCGCGGGCTGAGCAACCCCAACGAGCTGCAGGCGGCCATCGACAGCAACCGGCGGGAGGGCCGGCGGCAGGGCTTCGGCGGCTCCCTCTTTGCCTACTCGCCCGGCGGCACCCACGGCCTCCTCTCCTCGCCCAAGCTGCCGGTGCCAGCGCTGGGGCTGGCGTCTGCCACCAACGGCGGGGCCATCACGCCCGGACAGAAGATCAAGAAAGGTAATGATTGTTCTGGGGTCTGCCCGCTCCAAGGTTTGGCTGCCACGGGGTCTGGTTGCAAGCCGAGCCCCCTCCTAACCGCTGGAGATGTAATAATAACGGGGAGAGCTGGGGGAAGCGGGCAGGGGGGTGATGCTCCTCTTCCCTCCCTCCTCCTTGGGCTCCAGGGCTCAGCCCGGGGATCCTGATTCCAATCACCCATCTCTGACCTTTGGAAGGACAGCAGGGCACCAAACTGTTGTGCCAGGGCTGGGGACACCCTGGGGTGGTGGCACCCCTGTGCCCCCCATCCCTGACACCCGCTCCCCCGGCAGAGGAGGACTCTCCCATCCCCATCTCCATGCCCAGCCGGCTCCCGGTGTCACTGGCCGGGCACCCCGTGGTGGCGGCGCAGGCGGCCGCGGTGCAGGTGGCAGCAGCCGCCCAGGCCGCGGCGCTGGAGCAGCTGCGGGAGAAGCTGGAGTCGGGGGAACCCCCGGAGAAGAAGCTGGCGCTGGTGACGGACGAGCAGCAGCGGCTGATGCAGCGGGCGTTGCAGCAGAACCTCCTGGCCATGACGGCCCAGCTGCCCATGAGCATCCGCATCAACAGCCAGGGCACGCGCTCGCCAGGTCAGTGCCGGCCCCGGCCTCCCGCCCCGGCCGAGCCCCCGGCCCCGGCGGGCTCCGTAACGCGGCTCTCCCCGGCAGAGAACCGCCCGGACGCCGCTGCCGCCAGCAGCAACGGCACCAACAGCATCAGCATGTCGGTGGAGATCAACGGGATCGTCTACACAGGTGAGGGGCTCCCCCGGGCACCGCTGCCGTGGGTGGGGGGCTGCCCTGGGGCCACGCTCCGGCTGCTCTCCACCCCGTCTCACAGCAAAGCTCGGCTTTTCTCTTTCCCCAGGTGTGCTGTTCGCTCAGACGCCCGGCCCTTCCTCCTCCTCTTCCTCCTCCTCCTCCTCTGCCTACAGCAAAGGCAACGGCGGCAGCAGCCGGAGCAGCGGCGGCAGCGGGGTGGGGAGCGGCGGTGGCAGTGTGCCCCCCGCCCCGGCCGGCCTGGCCGTGCCCCCCAGCTCTACCTCCAACAGCGCTTCGCCTTAACGCCCCTGAGCCTCGGGCCCCTCGCGGCACCGGCGCCCGTGGGGGGACGGGGTCGCACCGGGGCTCACCGGGGTCTTCTGGGGTCTCGCCGGGGTCTCGCCCGAGGTCTTGCCAGGGTCTCTCTGGGGTCTCAACAGGATTTCACTGGGATCTCAGCAGGGTTTCATTGAGATCTCGCCTGGGTCTCACTGGGGTTTCATTGAGATCTCACTAGGGTTTCATTGAGATCTCACCTGGATCTCACCTGGGTCTCACTGGGGTCTCACCAAGGGTCTTGCCAGGGTCTCTCTGGGGTCTCACTGGGGTTTCATTGAGATCTCACCTGGGTCTCACTGGGTCTCACCAAGGGTCTCACCCGAGGTCTTCTCCAGGGTCTTCTCAGGCTCTCGATGGACTCTGCCCTTGTTCTCGTGTTGTTGGATTTTCCTTTTCCAGGCAGAAAAGCTTTAGCCCGGGGGGTTTTGCCGGAGCCGCCGGCTGTCCGGCTGCGCCGCTCCGGGACCGTTTACCTCACTCACATCACACTTTGCACTGTACATTTATTATTATTATTATTATAATTATTGTTATTTTTTAACTCGTGTTACCTCCAGACAGACGCACGGACGCCTGCCGACGCGAGCTCTAGCGAAACCCCCCGGAATTCTAAAGGAAAAAAAAAAAACAACCAAAAATCCTAAAAAAAAAAATTGGAAATAGGGAGATATTTTATTCATTTCCATCCTTTTCCCTCCTTTGTTTTGGGAACTCCACTCTCTGCAGGATTTTAAGAGGTTGTTTTCGATTGTTTTGTAAATAGCTTCTATTTTATTCTCTAAAAAAAGGAAAAAAAAAAAAAGAATCAAACTTTTAACATGCAAATGATATATATTAGTCTTCATCAGGGAAAATGGGAGCTTGGAAAAAAATTGGAATCTCCTTTCTCCTCTCCTTATCGGTGGTTGGGTCCAGCTCTGCTCCTTCCCCCACCGGCAAATCCTAATTTTTATTCCTCCCCCCTGCATAAAACTACTGTTCAAAGCCACTTTGGGCTTATTTCCTCCAAAACCAAGCAGGATCCAGAGGATGGGGATGCTCGGAGCTGCAGGACGCTCCGGAGCTCACGGACAACCCGAAGGACCTGAGCATTTATTTTAAGCCTCACAATCTCAGTTGGGTTATTTTTTTTGGTTTTTTTTTTATTTTTTTACTAGTGAGACACAATCCAAGCCGATACCGAAACCCCCTCGCCCCCCTCGGTATCTCCGTTCTCAGGTTCCCACCTGGAGCACAGGGTTTTTCCCCCTTCCCCAGGTGCCCCCAGAAAGGGGGGGAGGGGGTCCAGGCTGGTGGGACCTCCCCCCCCCACGTTTATTTTTAATTTCACTCGGGGAAGTGGCGATCTCAGGGGATTTGGGGTTCTTTTCCAGCTGTTTTTTTGTTGTTTTCAGCCGGGTTTTGTTGGGTTTTTGTTTTTTCCGTGCTGGAATCCCCTTGGTGGCTCTGTGGACCCTTTTTTGGGGGGGCCTGGGAGGGTCCGTCCAGCTCCTGCTGCTGTTGGGGTCCAGCCCAGCTCCCCGTAAGGAGAAATTCCAAGGGGGAATTTTCATGCCCAGGGCAGGCTTAGATTTTCTTAGTGATTTTTTTTTGCATTGTACAGTCACTATTTTGGGTTGTTTTGGGTTTTTTTTTTTTTAATTATTTTCCCTCCCCTCCTTTCCCTGCCCCTCCCTTTATTTTTGTTTTTGAGAGCGGGTGACTTTCCACTTTATTTTTCTTTTTTGCATATCGATTTTAAAATAATAAAAAAAGAGCCTAAATTAGTTTTTTTTTTTTTGGGGGGGGGGGGTTTGGAAAGAAAATTAAACTAAAGGAGCGGCCCCAGCTGCAGCCGCCCCCCTCCCCCCAGCGTTGCATATCTTAACTCAGGTAAAAAAGGAAAATGAGAAAATAAAAAAACCACAAAAGACAAAAAAAAAGAAAAAAAAGGAATAAAAAAATAAACCACATTCTACCTCTGAGCGCGGCGGCCTCGGGCGCACCCGGGGCCCCGGTGAAAGATTTCAGTTTTGCAAAACATTCAGGTATTGAGACTTTTTGATTATTATTAAAAAAAAAAAAATTTAAAAAAAAAAATTTAAAAAAAGAAGAGAAAATAAACTTAAAAAACACTGAAAGTTTACATTTTATAATAACATTATTATACAGATTGTATTTAAACGTCAGAATATTTAAGACAATTGTAACCCTGTAAAGTGAAGAAATATTAAAAAAAAAAAAAAAAAAAAGGTTGTGTTGTTTGGGGTTTCTTGCCCGGGGGGAGCCCAGGGGTGCCCACAGGGCTGTAGGGTATCCGTGGGATTTCCTTATGGATTTGGGGTATCAATGGATCTATGGGGTGATGATAGGATTGTGAGATGTGCATGGGGTCTCTGTAGGGTTGTGGGGTGTCCAAAAGCACCCCCATAGTTGTGGGGTGCTCTTGGGGTTCCTGTGTGGTGCCTGTAGGATTGTGGGGTGCCCATAGGATTGGGCAGTATCCAGGCCATCCTTAAGTTTTGTGGGGTGCTCATGGTGTTCTTATGAAGCTATGGGGTGCCTGTAGGATTGTGGGGTGTCCATGGGGTCCCTGTGGGGCTGTGGGTGGTCCATAGGGTTATGGGGTACCCCCATGGTCCCCATAGGGCTGTGGGGTGTCCATGGGGTCCCCGTGGGGCTGTGGCGGTTTTGGGGTCTCCACAGGGTGCCCCCATAACCCTGTGCGGTGTCCATGGGGTCCCCATGGGGCTGTGGTGGTTTTGGGGTCTCCACAGGGTGCCCCCATAACCCTGTGCGGTGTCCATGGGGTCCCCATGGGGCTGTGGTGGTTTTGGGGTCTCCACAGGGTGCCCCCATAACCCTGTGCGGTGTCCATGGGGTCCCCATGGGGCTGTGGTGGTTTTGGGGTCTCCACAGGGTGCCCCCATAACCCTGTGCGGTGTCCATGGGGTCCCCATCTGCACACGCGGTACCCACAGTCACCCATCCAGCACCGACCGGGGCGGGCCCTGCTGAGCTTCCTGCCGCGTGCGCAGCTCCCGCCCCGCTCGGCCGCCGCGGCGCCGCTGCTGATTGGTCGGCGCCGGGCGGGGGAGGCGGCGCTCTGGGCCGCGGCCGCGCTCTCTGTGGCCCTGGCGGACCGCGAAGATGGCGGCGCCCATGGAGGTGGCGCTGGTGTCGGACGCGGCGGGGCCGCTCTGCAACTGCTCGGTCTGGGAGCTGCACTCGGGCTCGGCCCTGCCCGGGTACCGCGGCGGCAACAGCGGCCCACGCGGGCTGGCGCTGCTGGGCGGCGAGCACCTGCTGGGGGCCCAGCTCGGCAAGAGCTACATCAACGTCTGGGAGCTCCAGAGGAAGGTACCGGCGCGGCGGGCGGGCCCGGGCGGCCTCGGCTCGGGGGACGCCCCCGGGCCTCGCGGGGGGACTCCGGGCCCCGTGGGGGATGTGACGGGGCCAGCCCTCCTGAGGATGGCCCCTCTTTTCGTGGAGACTCCCCTCTGTGCTCAGACACCCCAATTCTCTGCGGAGACCCCCGTGGCCCCTCTCTCCACAGAGACCCCCCTGTCCCCGGTTGGACCCTCAGGCCTCCCCTCCCTCCATTCCCACCCCCATCACCACGGGCAGGTGTCCCCCATCCCTCTCTTCACAGAGACCCCCACAGAGATCCCCCTGAGCCCCCGTGTCGGGGGGCCCTGCTTGCAGCCCCTTGCCCTGTGTGAGCCCTCGCTGTGCTCTCTCTGTCCCAGGACCAGCTGCAGCAGAAGATCATCTGTCCCGGGCCTGTGACCTGCCTGACAGCCTCTCCCAACGGGCTCTACATCCTGGCAGGCGTTGCTGAGAGCATCTACCTGTGGGAGGTACGGGGTGCTGGGGCACTTGGGACCACGCAGACTCACACCCTGCACAGTCAGGGAGGGTCCCCATCCCTCAAATGTCTGTAAATCCTGATCCTGGGGTAAAGGCTGTGCTGCCCGCAGCCTGTGGGGCAGCTCATTGAAGTAGGAGTGGGAGGAATTCAGGGAGAGGCTTCACTCTGCCTCCTTCTCCTCTTTCCAGGCATCTCTGATGCCTCAGGGGTCAGGCATTGCTCCCACCAGGCAGCAGCTCAGGGCCTGGTTTTCCTTCAGTGATTCTCCCACTTTTCAGCTGTGTATTTGTGTGTGCCCAGGGTGCCAGCAGCCCCTGCTGTGCTCTGGTCATTGTCCTGCTGGTTAATTACTGCTGGATTAACTTGGGATTACGCTGCGTTCCCAGCACACCACTGAGCAAATAAAAGCAGTATCTTGTCCTGAGCCCAGGATTAAACCCCAGGATGCCTCACCTGGAGAGCTCCCCGTGCCAGGGGAGGTTTGAGCCTCTCGGTGTGAGTGGCTCTACCTGAACCCATCTGGGTTTGTTTGTACCAGTGTGATTGTAGCTGGAAAAAAATCCCTGAGGCTGAGCCTGCTGTGGGAGCTGCTGCCTGTGATGCTCCCAGCTGGGCCCTGCTCCAGCTCCTGTCACCCACAGATGTGTTCCAGAGTATGGCACTGTCCCTCTGGCACATTGGAGAGGCTCCATGGAAACCATCATGGAGCTGGATACAGCCCCTAGAGCTGGGTTTTGTACTGTCTGTGAAACCCCTTGAACTGAGGTTTGGTTTGATTTTTTGGTGTAATTCAGATCACGAGAAGAAGCAAACTCTTATTTTATTTGAGGCTTTTTCTCTTCTTGGTTCCCTCCCCATCTGCAGTGTTGCCTTTCAATAAGAAATGCTCCAGGCTTGGGGAATTCCTTGTCCACCCTAAAGCCTGTGCTGGCCCAGGACCACGAGCCACCCCTGGGGTGTCCTGCAGTGTCATAACCCCACTGCCACCTCCTGAGGACCTGTGGGAGCAGGGAAGAAGTGACATGAATATTAAGAGTGAACAAGAAATCTTTACTGCACACTTGTGACTTGACCAGAGGAGCAGCTCTGGCCTCACTGGGTTCCAATTTAATGTGCCAGGACCTCTTCCAGCAGTGTGCTGAATTTCCCTGTGGCCCTGAGTGCAGGCTGTTGCTCCAGCTGTACCTCAGTGGTGTCAGTCACTGTCCTGAGGTGCCAACAGGCTCATGTGGGCAACAGAACCCACCCTTCTCCCCTCTCTGCACCAAGGGCAGGGCAGCACGTGATCCCAAGACATCCCTGACTCCCTCCTGGCCTTCCCCTCACTCCAGGTGTCCAACGGGAACCTCCTCGCCATCCTGAACCGACACTACCAGGACCTCACGTGCCTCTGCTTCACTGATGACAGCAGCCACTTCCTCTCAGGGGCCAAGGACTGCCTGGCCCTGGTGTGGAACCTCTACAAGTAAGGGGGGCTGGGGGGCACAGGGATTTTGGAGCAGGAGATCCCTCTGAGCCCACGGCTGTGTCTGTGCCCTCCTTGCAGGCAGGGAGCTTTTCCTTGGGGTCTTACCTGGGCTTCTTGGGAGCAGGCAGATGGCTCTGACTTCTTTCCATGGGTGACACAGATGGGACTGTGCTCTTTACCCAGGGTCTTTGTCCCTGTGGGATAAGGATCTCCGCCTCGGTATCCTTGTGCCATGGCTGCCAGCAGCTCCTGAGTCCCACCTGGTCCCTGCAGCCAGGAGAGGCGTTCCCGGTGGGATCAGAGCCTGGCCCAGCTCCCCATGGGGCTCTGTCCTGGCTGAGCTGCCTGTCTCTGCTCTCCCCACAGCGTGCTGCAGGCAGAGCCCTCCCAGATCCCTGACCCCCGGCACGTGTGGTCCCGGCACAGCCTCCCCATCACCGACCTGTGCTGCGGCTTCGGAGGGCCCCTGGCACGGGCTGCCACCGCCTCCCTCGACCAGACAGCCAAGGTGAGGCTCATTTCAGACCCTGTGGGGTCACAGCCAGGCTCCTGCCAGGTAGCAGGAAGCTGTCCCTGTCCCCAAGCTGTCCCCAAGCTTTGCTGGGTTGCAGTGGCTTAATTTCTTGGCTGTCTCTGCAATGACTCAGAGCTGCCAGACCTGAGCTCTGCCTCTCCAACAACAGCAGTTTCTCTGCACCTGCCCCCAGGCTGGACTGCTGCAGTCCCTGTTGTCCTGGGAATGTCGGGGTCAGCTCCTCTGTTTTCCATTGCTGATGTCCACAGGGAGCAGAGCAGGCTGGAGCCTGTGGGGCAGGGGATGCCCTGGGGGCAG